AAAACATCTTGATTAACTGTTTGTGTGCTTTCAACTTCTGCTTCCAGAATAGCCAAATCTGTGTTTATACCATCATCGTCCCATAAAGGTATGGCAGTCAACAAAATATCTTCTGAATCTACAACTGTAACAACCTTTTTCGTATCTTTTTTAGCCTTATTCTTTTTGGTGCAAGCGAAAAATGCCGCATTAAAAACATAGTAAATTATCGCTTCTACAATTTTATTCGTTTGGTTAATTTCTAACTCGCTATTTTCAGTGGATACAGTCTCGTTTAGACACACATTCGTTTCAATGTCATCAATTATCTTTTTTATTGAGAAGAACTCAGAACTTGAGTCAGAAGACTTCGTGTCTGAATTTTCTGATTCCACGCTTTCTCTAACTTCAACATTTTCAACTATGCTTTCAATATTATTATTATTAATAGCATCAATTTCGAATTCAGTCCTGATCACTCTATTTTCGACGTTATTAAAGAATTCCTCCTCTTTATTATTGTTATAATCAATCCTGTTCAAAATGGAAGCAATGATATCTGAGATTACCTCCAATTTCTCAAATTCTACCGTCGAATCAAAGCTCAATACTTCAACACCAGAACTGACGCTGTATAGACTGGATCTGACGTCTTTATTATCATTGAAATTAGGGTTATATTGCACTGTAGTTGTGCTCGCAGCCTCACTCGCCAAAATGTCAAAAATATCATCGTACACACTCTCTATGACTTCATCTTCCACAGTTTCAGTTTCTTTATAAGCATCTATAGCCGTTTGAATTATATTTGTTGAAATGCTCTCCAAATCGTTAGTAGTTATGTCAGATTCTTCATCATTAATAAAGTATTCTTGTTTCACGTATTCCGTTTCAAGCATTTCCGTTGTTATTTTAATTTCACTGGTAACACCGATTTCGTCTTTCAATTCGACGGCTGATACTGCTTTAGTTATTACATCTTCAATTATATTACTGACATTGTTCACTGGACCTTTTTCTTTATCTACAGAGTTATTAGAATGGTCGTAAGAACTTTTGGATTCTTCCAAAATTGGCTCCAAAATTGTTGCGTTACTTTTAGCAATATCTCGCCTCTTTTGAGGTGACTTTTTCGGGCTATCTTCTTTCTTCGTGTAGTCGTCGCAGTAGAAATTAATAGGAACCGAATAATCTCTAATGTCTTTTTCTACGAGGTCTTTCACTGGACTCTCATACACCGCTTCCTCAAAATCCAACTCATCAGTAAAGCTGTGGTATTCTCCTTCTATTAACTCCACAGTATTGTTATTTACTTCATCTATTTCTCTATGCTCTTCTACTTGAACACACTCAGCTCTATACACGTCATTTTTATAGACAACATCGATTTTCTTATCTTCAGTCAGCGTATCATCGAACTTCTCCTTTTCTGGAGAATCTTTCTCGATTATAGTCTCATTTTGGGACGAGAAACTGTTTCCTAGTTCACCTAAATAGTTGTCTTCATTGAATTCCTGACTTTCGACGAACTCCTCTTCCACTTTAGCCACTTTGAACACTGGGACAACTTTTTCTTCGACTTTAACCACGTTTATATTGGTCGCTTCCTCGATACACTTTTGGGGGATGTCATCGACGGAGAAGTACAACGAATGGCGTAATTTTTTGTTCTCTCTAATTTCCCACGCGTAGGAATTGTTCGTAGCGCCACAAGAGCGACATCTGGGCAGATGATAATGCGTCGGTTCTGGGTCTTTCACATAATTATTAACAAAACCACTATGTGACCTTGTTCTGTACAACTTGGTAAGTTCAGAAACTCTTTGCCTTGGCAGAGACCTGGTTTTAAAGGCGTATTCTGACTTGCATCGTCCGTCCCACTCTATGGAAGGTATAGAGTAAAGACTGGATCTAGAACTAGCATTGCATTGAAGATCTAAAGTTTCAACCTTAACTTCGTCTGAGATTTTGAGTTTGTTATTAAGACTGATTTTGCATTTGGGGTGTTTTTTCGCGTTTTTTTCGGGGGATTCGTACTTTTTTAAAGCGTTTTCGAAGTTGGCATTGCGTGAATAGTCGTGGTAGGATCGTTTGTGCGATGAGAAGGCGTCGTGGCGGCTTCTAGCGTGCGTTAGGCCTGCAAACGTGTTATGGGTTAACGAGCAAGCAATACGTGCAAGGATAAGGTATGGATTGTTTTTGAACCATGAATTCACCGTACCTGTAGAACAAACTAATGATTCTGTATTATCAATAGCTATAGACCGTTTATTCCCGATGATATGTATTAGAATTATTAGTATAAGATTTACTTAAAATGTTTGTATTCATGAACACAAATAATATAATAGTGGAGGACAACGGACAACTTTCTTCTCAGTGTCCACCAGTAGGGCCCAACGGGAAGATTTCAGTAGCGCTGTCCCCCACTGGTGGACATTGCAACTTTTTTTCTCGATGTCCACCAGTGGTGGACAAATAGTGGGGGACATCGGGAATAAACGCTATAGACGAATAAGTATAGATAGTGTAATAAATTTATTAGACTCCAATATTTACAGAAGAATATTGGGGCTAAGATAGGGCTATTACAAGTGAATATACATGGTTCCTTATTAGCTCTTGTCGTTAACTTTTTTAGAAAAATATTTTTTTTTTAATAGATACACATATAATATGTTAACCCAGATGAACCTACCGACCCATACATGGGTTATGAGAAATAAAAAAATCTACTGTCGTTATTTTATTTTATTTATACAAACCAAAGTATTTTTTTTAAACTTTAGGAGGTACTTGTTGATTATAATGACAACTAAAGCAGTAAACTGAATCATTTCTCTTTTTTATTTGCAAGTGAACAAGTGCAGAGAAAAAAAATTAAAACATGTCTTCAAAAAGGTAAGATTATAATTACTTGATGTTATTATTTTCAAAATACGGAATTATTACTCTAAAATAGAATACATTGTAGATTGATTAAGTAAAAAATAAATAAATCAGCGTTATTTTTTCCCTCTTTTATTTAGCCGTAGATTCCTTGGACCCATACATAGGCCCGTAGGCACAACCATAGTACATTTGATCTATATGAGTAAATATGCTTGATTTTGCTGTTTCAGATCGAAACCTTTGTCCTTGCATGAAATATTGAATGATATAGAAAATAGCAATGATCCGGTCCCAGAATACATTACATTTGAACCACCTGACAACGCAAATACCGTTGTAACTGATGAAGATTCAGCCGTTGGAAGGACCCAAAAATGGGCGTAACCCTCTTATAAACTATTTTGACCAATTATTCAATGATACAGCGATAAATGTTAGTAGAACTTCGAGAAAGAGGTCAATCGTCGAATCCAACTCGGTTGGGCAGCGTCTGGAAAGCTTCGCGATATACCTACTCACGTCTGAAATACCGCAGTGTCTCAACCTCAAGTCAAAATTTTTTGACCAGTGTATGTTGCCAGTCATGGTATATGGATCTGAAACGTGGTCGCTTACTATGGGCCTCATAGGAAGGCTCAAGGTCACCCAAAGGGCGATGGAGCGGGCTATGCTCGGAGTTTCCCTGCGTGATCGAATCAGAAATGAGGAGATCCGCAGGAGAACTAAAGTAACGGATATAGCTCGCAGAATTGCTAAAATCAAGTGGCAGTGGGCGGGACACATAGCTCGCAGAGACGATGGCCGTTGGGGCAGAAAGGTTCTCGACTGGCGACCACGGGCTGGAAGACATCNCTATAGACGAATAAGTATAGATAGTGTAATAAATTTATTAGACTCCAATATTTACAGACGAATATTGGGGCTAAGATAGGGCTATTACAAGTGAATATACATGGTTCCTTATTAGCTCTTGTCGTTAACTTTTTTGGAAAAATAAATGTTTTCAATAGATACACATATAATATGTTAATGTTACACGGCACAAATGATAAGGGATATGTAAATGTATGTATATCGATGATGTATTTGATAACGGCACAACAATACAAGAACACCAAGGGATAGGATACAATTTGTAGCTTCATACAACACAATGCGTATAGTCTGGTCTGTGAGCACGTAGAATTTTGTTCAATGACCCCAAGCGACCCTTCCTTATCGCTCGCGCGTAATTATGTTGCTATCGCGCTCGCACACTCTCTGCGGGTGCCAGTCGCACATTCGCGACAGCAATATAATTACGCGCGAGCGATAAGGATGGGTAGCTGGGGGTCATTGGACAAAATTCTACGTGCTCACGGACCGGGCTTTAGTAACATCAATAACATAATAGCGTAACATCAACGTTGACCTAAGACGAACACAATCGATATTTTGTAGCCACGGACTGATTGTTCGAGTAAAACTAACCACAAATAGCTCCAAACTATACAATAACATGAAACAAACAATAACATATAGGGACATTATGGTAAGCTGAACACAAACAAATATTTCGTAGAGACGGACTTAATTCTCTTATAAAACCAACGACAAAGATCTAAGTAATGACAAAAAGACACACGACAACACAATGCGTAATTAATTACATCGTGTAACATCTCAACAATTGAGCTAAGACAAACAATCGAATGTTTTGCAACGACGGATTTATATTCAAGTAAAACAAAGACCCAACGTAATATCAACAAGATATACCATAACATTATTAACAATAACATATAGCGTAACATTTTAACATTGAGCTAAGAACATAATCAAATATTTCACAGCGACGTACTCAATATTAGAGTAAAACCAACGACAAACCCAACGTAGTATTGTCAAGATGGACAATAAAATTAACAATAACATATAGTGTAACATTGAAAGACGAACACAATCAAGTATCACAGCGACAGACTTATATTCGAGTAAAAAGTCAACGACAGAACAACCAAAAGACGTTATGACAAGACATACACTATAACCCACAACCTGACACATAACCAAAAGGACCTCAAAAACACAGCGTTTAATTGGCAGACTTAATCACATCATCTACCAGACATCACCCCCCTTCCCCCTACCTCTAACGACCACGCGTTGAACTGCGGCGACCTGTTGCGACCTGACCACCACTTCTTTGGTCGGCGGCGGCGCGCTTGACACCGACGAATCAAGGAAGACTTCGTCGTCTGATAACAGGTTCGGATCGCGTGGTGCTTGACGTTAAATAAGAAGAAAATTCTAACAATGACGTCAAATATGAATATTGAAGAACGTATTTTAATTTTTAATGCCCGTATTCACAAACGACGCTTAAGTGAAACAGCAAATCGAACGCACAGCGTTGAAAAGACCTCTGTTCATGTGTGACCCTGTGCGTCCGCGCGCACTGCCAGATCTCTGTCAAGGACAGGATTTAAAAAGAAAAAATAAAGATGTCACTTTCAAACAAACGAAACGCAAAACGGCTTTCATTTTGCTCTGTTCGTATTATAAAGAATTATGAAGAGAATCAATATCATAGTAATGTTTGTGAATACGGGCGTAACAGTTACAAAAGTGATTAGAATAGAAACAAAATATAAATACTTAATAAAATAACGACACAAAAGAAGTATTAGTATAAAAGCAGATGTGGATAGAGCTAAGACAGAAACAAAAAGCATGACAAAGACTGAATGAGATATAAAAAATTATGAAACGGTAAGTGACGTTATACGCCAACGAAAATTGTTGGAACAGCCTATGCAATGAATGAAGAAAATGGATACATTGCTCTGTCTAGAAATCAAGTTAGACATAAGTTGCACCTGTCAAGGACTAACAACCTCCTCGTCGCCACTGAACTCTAAAAATAACGAACAACGCCCTAAATTAAAGGGCTAACTGCAAACACTGTTAAAATCTTAAATACTTTACACTCAATCTTAAAATACTCTGACATCAACAAAGAAAGCCGAACTAAAAATTCTTTATAAACATCCATAACACCAAAATATTATTACACACTAGCAAGCAAAAGTATGGAATCAAATAAGAGGTGTTTGCTTCGAGAGATTTTAGAAATTAAATGACTAGGTATGTCTGTATCCATAGTATCAGTTTAAAGTTTAAAATAAACTTTAAAATGGTACCATTTATATTAATCTCCATTAATCATTTACTTCTTAAGATCTCTCGGATCAAATACATTATTCCTACTTTTGCTCCCGAGTGTATAATGTAAATATAATAATATCGTCAACATACACAGCCGAGCCTAACACCACACCGAACCTTACCTCTGATGGGACCTCGGACCACAACCACGGGCGCCGGAGACGCGGTGCCGGAAGACAGGAACACTTCATCATCAGGCAACAGGTTCGGATCCGGTTGTGCCACTTCTTGGTGTTAGTAAACAATGGGGATTTGATGGAAGCCGTAAGGTAGATCTAACCAGTTGTGTAGTTTTTTGTACATAATTATACATTTATATGCTCGTGGTAATTATAATGTTTTACTTATGTGTGTTTTTGATTTATGTATAATGTGAATATAGAAAGAAGTGTAAGATATGCAGAGAAATAGAAAAAACGTGTATGAAAGGTTAGAATCCACACCTTATTAGTAAAAGTAAAATTAGAGATACATAAAATGGCAATTCGAACATTCTAAAGAATATTTTAACATTAATTATAATAATAAAAATTTTTTTTATAAGATATTCGCATTGCCTTTATGGTTATTTAAAAAATGAATGAGAAGAAAACAAAAAACGTGCATAAAATGCAAAACTTGCTATACAAAAACTTTGAACACATATTTTGTAGCTAAAAATAAGACTTCGTATATTTAGTTAATCATCTTACACTATTTGGGTTTACTACTGGTAAAAAAAATTTGTTAACGATGACGAAAGCAATATAATTGTTATTTTAATAGGATAGGATATTTCTTTCCCAGGGTTTTGAAAGGTCCCCTTTTCTCATTGAGAAATTTTGTAAAGATGGATGTTTACTCTTTCACGAAAAAACTACTGAACGAACTTGTGATGAAACTTTGCAGTATTATTTATTATTTATACGTCAGAATAACATAATAATATAAGGCTTTGTGACAAACTGAATTTCACACGGGTGAGCTAGTACAAAATATGTGTTCATTAATATAATAATTATTAAATAATAATAACAAAACCAACCTTTAGTCCTGTCCGCGTGAGCGCGTTCGGCGTTCAGGAACTCATCTACAAAACCGTACCTTGTTATGGCAACACATGCGCTACTGTACAAGATTGAACAATGATAGTGGCAACACTGAGGCTTTAAAAAAATTTCGTTCGTTTCAGCTGAAAGAAGTCCACTGCTGGACAAAGGCACCCCCCAAGGATTTCCACAAAGACCGGTCCTGCACCTCCCGCGACCTTCACCAGATCGTCGGTCCACCTAGTGCAGTCTTTCCCAAAGTGGGCGATAACGCCCCCTTGTGGGCGCTGCAGGCTTAAAGGGGGGCGGTAAGAGACCCAGAAAAAAAAATCGGGACGTTGTGTTGAGGCTTGGGAGGCGTCATCTACTAGGAGGACTCTTAGACACTGACTGAGCTCGACTCTTGGCTACAAAAATGGGGGGCGCTAAAAAATAATTTATTCTCAAAGTGGGCAGTAAACTGAATAAGTTTGGGAACCGCTGACCTAGTGGGAGGCCTGCCCACGCTACGTCTTCCGGCTCGTGGTCGCCACTCAAGAACTTTCCTGCCGCAGTAGCCATCAGCTCTACGAGCTATGTGCCTACTGCCACTTGATATAAGCGATTCTGCGGGCTATGTCAGTCACTTTGGTTCTCCTGCGGATATCCTCATTTCTGATTCGATCACGCAGGGAAACCAACATTTACCCAATATGATTTTGATTTCGGTTGGTATTATTGATCGCGCAACGAGTTGGAGTGGAGGTCACGTACCAGAAAGCACAACGTTGGACGTCCACCCACAAGGTGGACCGACCTCATAAAGGTAGCAGGAAGGCGCTGGATGCAGGCCGCTACCAACCACCCATTATGGAAATCATTAGGGGAGGCCTATGTTCAGCAGTGGACGTCCTGTGGCTGAATGATGATAATAATGAACGAGATATCTGTATATTTGTTTACCACTATCATTGTTTTTATTCTTACACAGTATAATTTGTTATAGTCGACACAAAAAAACATCGTAAAAAATAGTTTACGATGACAAAAAAGAGATGGGAGATTAAAAACAAATTAATTTAATTAAAAATGTGTCGACTACGCATCATTCATTGATTTTTTTTTAAATTAGTAAATCAACTAACTACTTTTTAAAACTCAAAAACAAAATGCATCCAAATGCAAGACAAATTTTGATGTCAAGAAAATCACATGCCAAAAAGTTTTATAGTATGGATGCATATAAAACAAACTACTCATAACGTTCCTGCCAGTTTTCTCTCGGATATCGATATGTTACAGTCAAAACTCATATTCGGTCAAAACCACGTTTGACTGCAAAAGTCAGTCAAAAGTGCTTTCACCTGATATAAAATTTTACCAATCAGTCCAAACTTCATACAAAGTAATGATTTTACTTATATTTAGCCTGAAAAATACCTAGATTCGTTAAAAATATGATAAGAAATAAATAGCAACATTACTGTGGTACCTAAGGTCACGTTGTATGCACAAATATTAAAATTAGCCTAAAATGGTTTTATAACACAATTTTGATGATTTCCAAGTAATTTTCAGTAATCATAATACTTTGTATGAATTTAGACTGATTTTTTGCAGCTATAGTCTGGTCCGTGAGCACGTAGAATTTTGTCCAATGACCCCAATATACCCATCCTTATCTCTCGCGCGTAATTATGTTGCTGTCGCGCTCGCACACTCACTGCGGCCGCCCGTCGCACAGTCGCGACAGCAATATAATTACGCGCGAGCGATAAGGATGGGTAGCTTGGGGTCATTGGACAAAATTCTACGTGCTCACAGACCGGGCTTTAAAAGTAGTTTTGACTAACGGCCTTGGTCAAACCTACTTTTGACCAAGGCCGAGTGATTATGAGTTTTGACTGTAACATAGATATATCGATATATTTATGATCGATCACTCACCATCACTCAGCACGACCTCCGGTTGACTCCTCACTGGCGCCTGCTTGGTCTCTATTCTCAGCACTCGGTGTTCTGAAAAATATATTTCAGTAATTTTATTTGAGTTTTTTCCATGCTATTTATTTATTTTTTTCATTTATTTATTTGGGTAAAAAAACAGTATTGAAGTACAGTAGCAAATAAATAATACTAATATACCAATATTATCTAAATTCAACACCAGCATCATTTACCACAGTTTAGATAAAACAGTTAATTAAACTTGTGTTGAGAGTGGTCGTAGTAAACACTTATTACGTAGGTACAGGCGGTAGCACATCGAAGGAGACACTGTGGCATCTTATATAATAATACGGAGGTAACTCTGTCTGCTATCCTTTCACGCTTTTAAACTTTCAATCTTAAAAAAAAGCTTTCTTACATGACTTCTGAAAATATAAAAATAGAGCCCATTCATTGACATATTATTTTGGCAATTGAAGAAATAAAAATGTATTTATTTTTCACCACTTAAACAATAAAAATTAACAAGTCTCTAGACGCTTGGCGTTGGTACCTAAACTACACTCGACATCAAATAAATCACACCTCTCGCGACTAATACTTGTGTTCTAAATGTGATACTAGATACTAGATCCAATCACTTGATACTAGACACTAGGTCCTTGTCACGTGATACTAGGTCCTCGTCACGTGATACTAGGTGTTGTCCATGTCACCTTGTTTCTGCGTCACTTACAATCGACTGTCACAACTTTTCTGCCCCAACGGTCATCAGCTCTAAAAGCTATGTGCCCGCCCTCTACCACTTGGTCGTCGGTCCACCTAGTGTAGTGTACTTACCATCCCTGGACTCCTCCTCGGTCTCCGAAGGAGCGCTGGCGGGCGATGTGATTTGCGCCGCGCTAATCGCCTCAGATTCAGACAGGTCGGTGTCATCTGAAAATAATAAATACAAATATTATACTAGGTTCGGGGTAACGTGATTTTTGGTACTAAATGATCTGGGTCACTTTCTAGCAACTAATCCGTGCCTTTTCAAGGCGAGAGGGAATAGGCACTTACAGGGCAGATATGTACCATCCTAGACTGCATCTCACTTAACACAGGTGCGACTGCGGTCAAATACCTGCCTTGTCTTGCATAAAAAAGAACTTAGGCTGGGTTGCACCATCTTACTTTAACTTTGACAAATGTCAAGTCTGTCAAACTCCATACAAAAACACCGGTTATCGTTATAGTTAATACTGGTCCGCGTCGTGATAGTAGGTGCTAGGTCCGTGTCACTTTGTATCTTGGTCACTCATTAGTGGAGTACTAGTCACGTGATATTAGATACTAGTTCTTGGTCACGTGATATTAGATACTAGGTCCGTGTCACCTAGTATCACCTAGGGCACTTACTAATGCAGTACTAGTCACGTGATATTAAATACTAGGTCCTGGTCACGTGATATTAGATACTAGCTCCGTGTCACGTGATACTCACACTCGTTGCCGCGCTGCTTGCGCTCCACCACGCGGCGGTACTCGTCGATCTCCCGGTCGGTCACGTGGTCGAACGGGTTGCGAGCGTACGGCGCGCTGTAGACGGTCGCGTTGTGTTGGTACCCTCGCTGTATAATGCCTTTGGATGCGGCGCCCGGGAGGACCTCCTAGTGGCTTAGTTAGACTACCTAGTATCATCTTGGTCACTCACTAGTGCAGTACTAGTCACGTGATATTAGATACTAGGTCCTTGTCACGTGATATTTGTCACCTAGTATCTTAGTCACTCACTAGGTTCTTCTTAGACACTAGAAGAGGTCACTTGATATTTTGCACTAGGTCCAGTCACGTGATACTAGACACTAGTATATTACTCACTAGTGCAGTACTAGTCACATGATATCTGGTACTAGGTCCTGATCAAGGTAACTAGGGTTGTTGTCACGTGATATTACACACTAGGTACGAGTCACGTGATACCAGATCCAAGGAACGTGATAATAGGTCCGGGTCACGTGACATTAGATACTAGGTCCTGGTCACGTGATATTAGATACTAGGTCCGTGTCACCTAGTATCATATTGGGCACTCATTAGTGCAGTACTAGTCACGTGAAGGATACTAGCTCCGGTCACGTGATATTTGATACTAGGTCCGCGTCACGTGATACTCACACTCGTTGCCGCGCTGCTTGCGCTCCACCACGCGGCGGTACTCGTCGATCTCCCGGTCGGTCACGTGGTCGAACGGGTTGCGAGCGTACGGCGCGCTGTAGACGGTCGCGTTGTGTTGGTACCCCCGTTGGATAATGCCTTTGGATGCTGCGCCCATGAGCACCTGAAAACAAAACAGTTGATTTTGTACCTTATGCCATGGTGATAAGAGTTCAAAATGTAGCGGCAACAAATCGTCCATGACCATATACTTTGGATGAAATACACATAGAGAAAAAATACTATAGTCTGGTCCTTGAGCACGTAGAATTTTGTCCAATGACCCCTAGCTACCCATCCTTATCGCTCGCGCGTAATTATATTGCTGTCGCGACTGTGCGACTGGCACCCGAAGTGAGTGTGCGAGCGCGATAGCAACATAATTACGCGCGAGCGATAAGAATGGGTAGCTAGGGGTCATTGGACAAAATTCTACGTGCTCACGGACCAGGCTTTAGCTCCAACACGAAAAACTTTCGAGTTCGAATCGTTTGCGTATTCGAATCGCCATCAAAAGATTTAGTACGAAAACTACAACAGTACCCTTGTGAACGTGTCGTAAAGTGAACTTAGTATAAGAAATGGTTGCACGAAACTTATTTTGAGAATCAAAATTGCCACGTTATCGTTTAATTCGAAGGTTGAGTATCGAATTTTGTCGAATACGCAAACGCAAAGTCCAAAAAAGCCGTGTGGTTGCGGTTTATTTATTATTTTATTATGCAAGTAGGCTTTAAAAAAGCACTTTTACAACATGAACAGTCTATTTGTCTATGAACTAGCTTAGTCTTTGGATGTTCATTATGTGTATTGTGTTATGGTACTTGTTTAGTCTATGGACGTGGATTACCTTAGGAACTATGATGTGTTTGTGATTTTATGAGGATTTGGGCTGTGTTGTCTTTGGACATGTATTGTCTATGGTCTATGGGAGTGTAATCTATAGTCTATGGCTCACCACGTGGTCCCCAGTGTGCGTATTGGCAGCGTCTTCTCCCACCAGCTTGCTAGCTTCGTCCCAAGTGACTCCCTCGAGGATATGCGACTGAGGTCCAGCGCTTATCTTGTCTGCGCGACGATTCTCTTTAATCTGTTGTTTAGATAGTTATTAGAATATTTATAGTTTTAATATAATTTTATGATAAATTCAATTAAATGCCTAAATAAAAAAAAATAATCTTTTTATCCTCCCAAATGTGTCTTTTACATATTTTTAGCAGTTGAGAGGTTAAAAACAAGTTTATTTCTACGGTTATCCTCTGTGTTGTGCAGGAATCGAACCCGCGACCTCTGTTCATACAGTTCATACGCGAACCACTAGGTCAGGTCACACTATCAGTAATAATGCCATCAACATTACTGCCATTCCTTCCTGCGGTAATGACATTAAAAATGTACCTACAAATATTTTTGTAGCACTGTAACCATTCCTTCATCCAACCACCACTCTGTCAGTAGTAGTGGCATTATTACTCAATTTTAGTTATTTTTTATGCATAACAAGGCAGGTATAGTCTGGACTGCGAGCACGTAGAATTTTGTCCAATGACCCCAAGCCACCCATCCTTATCGCTCGCGCGTAATTATATTGCTGTCGCGACTGTGCGACTGTTGGACAAAATTCTACGTGCTCAGAGACCAGGCTTTATTTGACCGCAATCACACCTGATGTTAAGTGAGATGCAGTCTAGGATAGTACATATCTGCCCTGTAAGTACTTATCCACTCGGATTATAGTGTTTGGGAAAAACAGCAGCAAGCAGCGAATTTCAGTCCCTAGTTTGCATTATAAGAGTTATGCCCGTTTTCACCATCAATCCCTAATTTTTAAGTGACCCCTATGGTAACACATAACAGGAATTTTGTTTTCATAGGGGTCACTTAAAAATTAGGGATTGATGATGAAAACGGGCATTAATGAAGCGCTTAATGACAGTAGTATTACTGATCGTGTCTGGTTCGCTTTCTTAAAGTTTTTTTTTTTGTCTAGTCTAGACTAATAAAAAATCTAATAATATTAAAATTTCTACATACCTGTTGTTGCAACGCCTTGAACTCCTTAGGGTTGGTGTTTTTGGGCACAAATTGTAGTGTATCAATCTTGACTGGCGTGCTCGAATGCGCCGGCGATCCATCCTGAACCCACTGCGTACGCAATACGGTCCACAATCCGACGTAGCGAGAGGGAAAGAGAAACAAATTAGTTAAAATGTTGCCATATAAAAAAAATACAAGTGGGTAAGTGGTTAATGGGAAAGCATGAGAAAGAAAGAGAAAGAAACAGTGCTAGAATGGGATGGGTGTAACCCAAGATTCTCCCCAGGCCTGGTAGATCGAGCGTGTACAGTATAGTATGCATTTATTTATTTATTTGCGATTAGAGCAACGCAACACATTCATCATGCAAAGCATTCGATTTGACGTTAATTCAAAATCCAGTGTTGCCAACTTTAAAAATAAAAAAAATGTTGGCAGCACTGCATCAATGTTTTGACAACCATAATGACGTCAAAAAAAAACAAAATTTGATAAAAAAAATGGGGAAGAAACAAAAAGGTAGTGCAGGATTCGGGATTTTTGTATTTGGCAACATTTTTGGCTAATTCATTTCTCTTTTTTCTTTTTTTTAATGGTAACATTTAAACCTCTTTCGCTACACTGTACAGACTCGATTTTTTTGAATAAAATTAATTTATGTATAGTTAATTTTATTCCAATACCAGGGTAGGGTAAATGAAATGCTGTTGATATAATGTTTGATATCAATTTTGTTTTCAAATTCAAAAGTGCACCAAAGATTAACACCGCCAATATTAATGTAATGGTATGAAGCTTACGTTATGAGTACCACGTTAGTATAAATTATATAAAATCTATATAAATAAAAAACATTTCAAAATATCTTGCTAAGCTCAAAATTAGACAATGCCCTAGCTAGACCAAATCTTTAATAAAATTTTAACAATTATGAAAGTCGGAGAAAGAAGAGAAAAAAATAAGAAATTGTCCCAAAAAATCTGAGGACGCGAGCAAAGTCGCAGGCAGAATTATAAAAACTTTTTCAATTCATATTGGAGATCCACACTTGAATATAAATCAAAATAAAATTATGAAGACTCCACAAAAAACAAATCATGTAAATCTTTAGTGAAATTGACGAATTGGATAGTAGGTATTATAACAAATTATTGACTCTGGGAAAAAAGGCTACCTTTTTATTGCCTAAATTAAACATAATAATATTGAAATCAATTTGTTAGGACCGCCCAATACCTTAAGAAACAAAAATAAATAAAGATACACCGTTAAAAATACTAAAGAATAATTAGAATTGGCCTAAAGTTGAATACGCTAGAGAGTTGCGATTTATAGAGAAGATTTATTTGCTTGAATTTCTTAGAAAATGAAGCAATAAATACCAACAACTATAAATAATACTTCAGCCGTGTGAATCTGGCAGAATATAAAAGAAAAATACAGAGTCTCACCGTGGATGTCGTAAGAGGCGACTAAGGGACAAATATGCGAACATCAGGCCTCCCCAACCCGTCTGGCCAGCGTGGGGAGTGTAGGACAAATCCTCTTGCCTCTGGTCAATTAGAGGGTCGGACTCCTGCAGTGGAGACTGAATGACCTGATGTTGACGACTAACTTAATGAGGGCTATCGTTTTAGCGCTCACCAGTTGGCGCCACTGTAGAGTAAGGTCCTGTCACTTGCTAGTCGCGAAGACAGTGGCGCCAACTTGTGAGCGCTAAAGTGGTAGGAGGACTATCGCATTTGCACTCATCAAGATGGCGCCACTGTAGAGTAAGGTCCTGTCAATCGCCAGGGGTGCCAACTGTTAAGTATAAAAACGATAGCCCTCATTGTCTTTATAGACCAGTAGTGAGAATATGAATAATATTTTTTCTGGCGTTTCTTCTCAGTACTTGCCATGTTTGTCTCGAAGTGCCCTTTAAATGCTACCTTTTCTTTTTTTAATTACACATTTCTGACGTTCATAACTGCCAAAATATTGGTCAAACTAAATAAACATTTTTTGATTTGATTTGCTTTTGAAAAAAAAATATCTATCCAATCGCAACTCCGTAACGCACACCTTTTGCCGAAGAACAAGTGTCAGTGGAAAGAAAATAAAAAAGAAGAAGAAAGAAGAAATAAAAAGAAACGTCACGAGTCAACGTGTTATTACCTCGTCGTTGTTAGCGTCCACCCACTGCAAAAGATTATTGAATTAGTCACAAAAAAACAACACAAAAAATCCTCAAAAAACTTCAAAAAATCCATTATATCAAAGCATTTCATCGTGAGAGAAGCCAGCTTCATTGAAAGAGTTATTTTTGATTTTTTTGTAAATCTTTTTCATTTATTTTTTAATTGTAAACATAGATTCTATAAGCACATTTTAAATACGCGAATAAAAAGGGCCGATTTTTTCAGTTTTTTTTAAATCAAATTAATTTTTTGAATAAAAAAATCGGACCTTCTCTAATAAAAAATCTTTGATTACTACACACAATAGCAAAGCGTTATAGCTATGAAAAACAATCACCATATTTATATATTAATATCTTTATAATATCTTTTTAGTTATAAAAAAAATGTTCGATGATTCCTTGAAGTATAAAAAAAGAGAAAATAATAAAAAGTCGTAGAAAAAGGTTATTCTTGAGCGGATTTGAGCGCACTATTTTATGGAAATTCCAAAAAAATATAGCATGTTGTTTTGAGACATTTTTTTAAATAACTGTCATCATCCCGCGGTTTTACCCATTTTTCCCCCTTCTACTATACTCTCCCCTTCTCTCTCTGACGAACTACCCTCTTTCTCTCTTTCTCACATTCATCTATTTATAAGCAAATAAAGAATTTATTTTTATCTCTCCCTTTTTTCTCTCATTCACTCCTTATCTCTCTCATTCCCCCTTTCATTTTATAATTTAATTAGTAAAGACAAAAAAAAGTTAATTTATATTGCACAACCTTTCAATATAGCTGCTCTGATTTTATATCGATTATCAGTCTTCAAATAATAGGAAGAAATTGAGAAATAATAAAATTAGTATTTTTAATTCACTTTTCACATAAAAAATAAACAAAAATACTTCCAATCCCGTGATATGTCAATGTAAATCTGTATTTTAAAATCGAACTAATTTATCATCATCATCATTCATCGTTTATATGATTTTGTTCAACGATTCATTTTTTGATAAAAAATGTATCTGATTCCCAATTCTAAACTTATGCCACACAACTGTCATTATCAGATCACTTTCACGTCACTCCCGCGTCGCAATCACGTCTCGCCACGTATTCTCAAAACAACATGCTATAGTTTTCTTGTAACGTTAGTAGTGAAGAAAACCTACATTATTATATTTATATTGAACGACCGTAGCACTATAAGATAAAACTGTTAACATGGCTATTGAACGCGTCGGTTTCTGTCAAACTGACATTTTGACAGCTGTCAATTGCTCACATTTTTTAAAAACTAGCTCAATTGATTTTTGAATCTTAAGCAAAGGGCATGATGTTCAAAGTTAAGGATTATGTAGCTCATTATTTAAGTTGTAGGTAAGATAGCCAGTTCCTCTGTGGTTAATTCCGGGTGAAGCTCGCTTCCACCTTCGTTCGGCCTGATCATCACTTACCATCAGGTGAGATGCAGGCCAAGAGCTTCCCCTAAAAACTACCTAATTGAGCTAAAAATGTATAGCTTATTAAGCCAATGTCTGTATCTTTAGTTGATAGATCAGTAGCGAGTCAAAAAATCTTGACAATAATGTCAAATGTCAAAAACGTCACATGTCATTTTGACAGAAACCGACGACATCTATTTCTAAATAGTTGTCTATAGAAACAGTTAATACAATAATGAATAAATTGTTTTAATTCCAAAGATATAAAAGCAAAAATATAAACAGTCTAATATTTTTTTTTGGTTTTAAAATTAATTGGGGGGTTCCATAACATTATTATAATTTATTTCACGATTTCAATTGATTCTATAAGAAGCATAGACAAAATAAATAATACTTGTTTCAATAAAAATGCTGTCTTTTTAATTTGAAAACAGCTTATAAAGTTTTTAAACTTAATAACCGAGGTTTAGACTAGCAATAAAACTATAATAGATCGTTTCATCCACGAAGACGCGCCCCACCATTCTTCCGCTAATGTTTGAGTGTTATCGGTACACGCTAAATTATCCATGAGTGCACACGCACACTACAATAATGCCTTACGGATTGCTCGGATCAAACTCCCCGCACCCCGCGCGACCGAGACCAAACATTGGTGGGGCGCGTCCGAGTGGATGAAACGATCTATACACAGTGGTGACATCTTGCGGTCAAGTCAACTTCTGCAAGTTTCATTGCTAGTCTAAACCTCACTATAGAAATGATTTGATTTTAAAATAAAACATTTGGAACCCCGCCGTACGTATAAATACCACTAACCCAAAATATTATACAGGGTGACAGGTAAAGCGATACATTCCTTGAAAGGGGTTAAAGTAGAGCTTATTTGCAGTCATTTAAGTCATATGACACCATGTCCGAAACTTGTTCATTTCCAAGTTATTCAAGATTTAAGTATTTTTTAAAAAATCTCCAGTTTTTATGTTAAAATGTATCCTTGTAATGAAGAATACGGAATAATCTTAACTTTTTTGTTGTATTCGTATAGCTAAATAATAAGATTGACATTTTAAATTAAAATTTGCAAGAAACAATCGTCATTACTCAAGTAAAAGCTAAAAAACCATGTATTATTTTGCAAAAAAAATATGTTTTAGGTAATTAAACGAAGAATTTCCAAGAAAAAATGTATGGAATGTTGTGTACAAATTACAGAATTTAGTTCCTTGATTCATTAGCTATTCAAAAAGGTACAGGTGTTTAACAAACACTACATAATTATTTTTTTATTTGAATTTAAACGTCTAGTAAGATACTTTCATAAAAAAATAAATAAATAAAAAAGTCACACTAACAACTGTTCTTGGGTCTCAATAAATGAAAAACTTAGTATTTTAATAATAATTGTATCACCTAATTTTATCTAGGTACATTATTTTAAGTCCTGCTCAAACTGTGAGCCCCGTCTTCTAATACAAGCTCGTAGTCTGTTTCTCACTTTTGTTTTTGTGACTCTTAGTGGTAGGAGGACTATCTATTAGGACGCATTTGCACTCATCAAGATGGCGCCACTGTAGAGTAAGGTCCTGTCAATCGCCAGGGGTGCCAACTGTTAAGTATAAAAACGATAGCCCTCATTGTCTTTATAGACCAGTAGTGAGAATATGTATAATATTTTTCTGGCGTTTCTTCTCAGTACTTGCCATGTTTGTCTCGAAGTGCCGTTTAAATGCTACCTTTTCTTTTTTTAATTACACATTTCTGACGTTCATAACTGCCAAAATATTGGTCAAACTAAATAAACATTTTTTGATTTGATTTGCTTTTGAAAAAAAAATATCTATCCAATCGCAACTCCGTAACGCACACCTTTTGCCGAAGAACAAGTGTCAGTGGAAAGAAAATAAAAAAGAAGAAGAAAGAAGAAATAAAAAGAAACGTCACGAGTCAACGTGTTATTACCTCGTCGTTGTTAGCGTCCACCCACTGCAAAAGATTATTGAATTAGTCACAAAAAAATTTTTTTATGAAAGTATCTTACTAGACGTTTAAATTCAAATAAAAAAATAATTATGTAGTGTTTGTTAAACACCTGTACCTTTTTGAATAGCTAATGAATCAAGGAACTAAATTCTGTAATTTGTACACAACATTCCATACATTTTTTCTTGGAAATTCTTCGTTTAATTACCTAAAACATATTTTTTTTGCAAAATAATACATGGTTTTTTAGCTTTTACTTGAGTTATGACGATTGTTTCTTGCAAATTTTAATTTAAAATGTCAATCTTATTATTTAGCTATACGAATACAACAAAAAAGTTAAGATTATTCCGTATTCTTCATTACAAGGATACATTTTAACATAAAAACTGGAGATTTTTTAAAAAATACTTAAATCTTGAATAACTTGGAAATGAACAAGTTTCGGACATGGTGTCATATGACTTAAATGACTGCAAATAAGCTCTACTTTAACCCCTTTCAAGGAATGTATCGCTTTACCTGTCACCCTGTAGTATAATAAAGAATATAAAATATAAGAATAACATTGGAATGTTTTAGAATTATACCGCATTATTTGAGACCTAAAATTTAACGGATAGTATTTATTCTTAAAATCTTTGATATAAATATAAGAATAAAGGATGTTAACAAAAACTTCTTGCAAACTATTTTGTATTTGCTTGGATTTTTAAAAAGTAGGTTTAAATAAATTATATCATGTATAAGCTATACTCTTGTAGTTTCATCAAAATCCGTTGAGCAGTTTTTACGTGAAGTGACAAACATTCATTCATACTCAGAAACTATCTATATGATATTCGCATATAAGTTCACCATTTTAGTGCTTGAAAACCTTATAATTCTTTTTGTGTGAAGCTACATCCATATTACAGCGGGGCATATAAATCGTATGCCCCGCTAACGCCCCACACATATGTGAACAGCCTCTATAATTCCTCTTTTAAAACTTTATCCACAGTATAGCGGGGCACACAAATCGTACGCCCCGACAACGCCCCACACAATTGTGAACGCCCCACAACAAGATTTTAAGAATAAAAACTGTCCGTCACATAAAATCGGCGGTGACAACGCTATAAATTATATGAATATAGAACGCTTACATAATACATTAAGACTTCTCATATTTGTGATAGAATAGGGCGTTATTTGATTTTATAATACGGTGCAAAAAATGGATACTTGACACCATTAACCAATTTCTTTATAAACCACACTACAACTATCGGAAATGTGACGTCATAACTCAAGAGTTGCTATACAAATGATGGGATTGGTGTGTTTTGACAGCTAAAAAAAGTGAATTGACTGTGGTGCCAAGTACCTACCCATTTGCAGCGTATGAAGGGCCTTAGGCAGTTGTTCCACGACAAGAAGCGACTAACTGTCGATTATTTTCTCGCTCAGAAACGTCACGCATGTCAAAGCTGGCAAACGTCATCCGCACTGTTGAGTGGAATGATGGCTTTATGGCCTTCTTTATTTTATTTTATTTTTTTTCAAAATTCTCGAATGTAACTACATATGTAATTTTGCGTAGGGTAGTGTAACATTTTTTCTTTGTTTTGAGGAAAACGGAGCCCGTATAAAGACCCTGCCACTATCAAATGTGCAAAAGCGACTACGTTTCTTGACCGACAAAATCAGTAGTAAGTAAAGTCCGGTCGCCGAGCAGATACAATTTTGTACAATGACCCCAAGCTACCCATCCTTATCGTCATTGTACTAAATTCTATCTGCTCGGCGACCGAACTTTAGGAAGTTCATATTAGTCTGACTTGTTGTGTCATGATGACACATCAGAAATCTGTTTCATACATTTAGTATGTGACACATCAGAAGCCATCACGACACGGCACGACACACAAATTTAAACGTTACTTACCATACTGAATGTATGAAACGGGGCAACTCCCCGCTAATCCCCGCTAAATTTTGTCATTGTGTGCGTGCGCGCCGCATACGTATTGGCGCGCTTACATACAAAGCGCGCTCGGTGCGTTTCTATGAAGATGACCTACTCATTTGTATTTACTCTGTCTGTTCGGATGCGTCACGACACAACGCGTCTGACTAATATGAATCCGCCTTTACTCGTCGAAGGTACAACTACCTAATTCCACTTTGTCTCTACTCGGCCTCGACTCTAAGATATTCTACCTTGGTGATCTTCTTGGGGTCGCTGGTGCCGGTCTCCAGAACCTCGACCTTCTGGTACACATGTTTAGGTCCGATATAATAACCCATTCACATTACTTTTAGTGTCATTCGCCCATGTTTATTTACCAGCTTAAATTATTACGACATACGTTTTTAGAGCGAGAAAAAAAGTAGTACCTACTAGTCGCTTATTCGTCGTGGGTAAAGTCGCGCAGCGAGAGTTGAGGCGATCAACACGCGTCACTTCACGCTTAATGTCGCGTTGCGTCGCTTCATGTCGCGTTGCGTCGCTTCATGTAACGTTGCGTCGCTTCATGTCGCGTTGCGTCGCTTCATGTCGCGTTGTGTCGCTTCATGTCACGTTGCGTCGCTTCATGTCGCGTCGCGTCGCTTAATGTCGCGTTGCGTCGCTTCATGTCGCGTCGCGTCGTTTAATGTCACGTTGCGTCGCTTCATGTCACGTCGCGTCGCTTAATGTCGCGTTGCGTCCCTTCATGTCGCGTCGTGTCGCTTTAGCGATAGCGCACACTGGGTGACAAGTTGCGTTGCCTAATCGCCGCGATTGTCAATTTCACAACGCGACGGAGCCACGGCGATTAGACACCGCGACTTGTCGCTCAGTGTGCGCTGTCACTTGCTTTGTCGCTCACCTAAGACAACGGGTTACATCGTTCGCTTCAACTCTCGCAGCGCGAGTTGTAACTACCTAGCTCCCTAGTGTCCCTACTCGGCCTCGACTCTAAGATATTCTACCTTGGTGATCTTCTTGGGGTCGCTGGTGCCGGTCTCCAGAACCTCACCCTTCTGGTACACATGTTTAGGTCCGATATAATAACTCATTCACATTGCTTTTAGTGTCATTCGGCCATGTTTATTTACCAGCTTAAATTATTACGACATACGTTTTTAGAGCGAGAAAAAAAGTAGTACTAGTCGCTTATTCGTCGTGGGTAAAGTCGCGCAGCGAGAGTTGAGGCGATCAACACGCGTCGCTGCACGCTTAATGTCGCGTTGCGTCGCTTCATGTCACTTCGCGTCGTTTAATGTCGCGTTGCATCGCTTCATGTCGCGTCGCGTCGCTTAATGTCGCGTTGCATCGCTTCATGTCGCGTCGCGTCGCTTAATGTCGCGTTGAGTCGCTTCATGTCGCGTCGTGTCGCTTTAGCGACAGCGCACACTGGGTGACAAGTCGCGTTGCCTAATCGCCGCGATTGTCAATTTCACAACGCGACGGAGCCACGGCGATTAGACAACGCGACGGAGCCGCGGCGATTAGACAACATGACGGAGCCGCGGCGATTAGACAACGCGTCGGAGCCGCGACGACAGCTTTTATTATATGAAATTGACAAGTCGTATTTCGTCGCACATCTAGGACATCGCGTTCGTCTCAACTCTCGCTGCGCGAGACACAACTACCTAGCTCCCTAGTGTCCCTACTCGGCCTCGACTCTAAGATATTCTACCTTGGTGATCTTCTTGGGGTCGCTGGTGCCGGTCTCCAGAACCTCGACCTTCTGGTACACATTGGGCGAGTTAAGCCAGCGGGTGCGCTCGCCGGTCTTGCCTTGGCCTTTCTTCCACAGGCTGTGGAACAGATAATATGAATTAAAAAATCAAATCAAAAATTAACAAAGCATGACACAACAAACAAAACCATATTATGTGCATCCCACTTAACACCAGGTGCGATTGCGGTCAAATACCTATCTTGTCTGGCATATAAAAAAAGACTTGTGTCTCCTAGTCACGCTGCGACACCCTAATGTGTCACGCGCGTTAAAGGTCGCGCCCTAGTGTCTTGCTTGCACCCTAGTGTCACAATGCAACGTCTTACTCCTGTCCTAGTGCCTCGCTGGCGCCCTAGTGTCTAATAGTGTCTCGCTGCGACACCCTAGTGTGTGTCGCATTATAGTGTCGCGCTTTAGTGTCACACTGTAACGTCTTACTCGCTTCCTGGTGTCTCGTTTGTGCCCTAGAGTTTAGTTTCCTCTGTGATTGAGGATTCCGGGTGAAGCTCGCTTCCACCTATGGCCTGATCATCACTTACCATCAGGTGAGATACAGGCCAAGAGCTTCCTTGTTGGGGATAAAAAAAAAGTATCCTGCTCGCGCCACGTTGTCACGCACTAGTGCCTTACTGACACCCTCGTGTCTCGTTTACACTCTAGTGTCTCAATCGCGCTCTAGTGTGTCGATCGCGCCCTAGTGTGTCGATCGCGCCCTAGTGTGTCGTTCGCGCCCTAGTGTCTCCTAGTGTCTCGCTGCGACACCCTAGTGTGTCACTCGCATTATAGTGTCGGGCTCTAGTGTCTCGCTCGCGCCTTAGTAGCTTGCACTCGCCCTAATGTCACTGTAACGTCTTACTTGCCTCCTAGAGCCTCTAGTGTCTTGATCGTGCCCTAGTGTCTCGCTGAAACACCCTAGTGTGTCACTCGCATTATAGTGTCGGGCTCTAGTGTTTCTCTCGCGCCTTAGTAGCTTGCACTCGCCCTAATGTCACTGTAACGTCTTACTTGCCTCCTAGAGCCTCTAGTGTCTAGCTCGCGCCCTAGTGTCTCCCTGAGACACCATAGTGTGTCACTCGCATTACAGTGTCGCGCCCTAGTGTCACACTGTAACGACCTTCTTGCCTCCTGAGGGCTTAGTGTGAGTTTACATCAAACTGCGTCACTGGTGAGCGCATTTAAAAAAAATCTATAAAGATTTTAATTCTTGAAAGTATCCGCTAGGGTCGCTGTACAATCCGTCATACATTTAATGTCATTTGACAAAACGTTTGATGTAAACTCACACTAAGCCCATTGGTGTCTCGCTTACGCCCTAGTATCTCCTAGTATTCTGCTCGAGCCACATTGCACGAGCACATGCTTCACTCGNTCTCGGAAACTATTCGGTCTTTTTTAACGGGGTTTTTTGCAAATTGGTTAGCTATCCGAGGGCTACATTTTTTATTAACAACTTTTGACTCTAGGTAGAGCCGGGAGAGAGTTAGTATTAAGGGCTCTACAATCCGGGTACGCTTCAGGCAAAATAACATCTGCCACCTGTCCTAGCACCACTAAAGGACACCCACTCTACCAAAATATAGAGCACCCAAATTGGGACTCTACCTATTTTGGCGAAGCGTACGGGCGTGTAGAGCTCGACGGGGCGAGAAGAACGAGCCCTCGCACGACTTCCTGCGACCTCGGACTCCAAAGTTACGGGCACTTTAAAATCCGGCAGCCATCTTGGGCCGCCATCTTGTTTTTATAAAACACGCCATAACTTTGGACAGGAGTGTCGTAGGAGGACGGGGTTTCGAGTGGCAACATCGGCGCGGCTTACTCTACCGAATCCACGTGCTTAGGAGCGATTTTGACGCGACTCTACTTTTAGTAGAGATACCCACGGATTCGTGTAGAGCTCGCGAGGGGAAACAAGAAGAGCCGTCGCTCGGCTTCCTACGGCCAAAATTAGGGAAGATAGCGGGGTTTTAATATTTGGTCGGCCATTTTGACCGCCATTTTGGAAATATAAAAGCCCCGATAACTTGGCTTCTAGACGTCGTAGAGGATCAGGACTTGGGTCATTAGAAAGCCCATAAGTAGAGCCATCCGGTGACATAGAGTCTGAAGCTCTACATAGAGCCAAACTCTACAAAAATTTTTTTGACTCAAAAATTTTTTCTAGAAAATAATTTTTAGGTAAATTAGTATATAAGGACAGGCTTATAGCCAAATATTATAGTAAATAAGTAAGGTAGAGCATAGGGAAACTTGCGCTTCCCAAGGCAAAGTAAGAAAATTGACTTACCAACTGTTGGACATCCGGGTGAGCTTCCCTGCTGGAACTGACGCGTAGGTAGAGCGCGACCTGAAAGAGAAAAAACACAAGGTTAGTACATAAAATAGTTGCATACATACACAAAAAGCTAACACACACACACGCATACACATACACACACACATATACACATACAAAACACATTCACACCTACACATACTTACACACACACACAACACACAAACACACACACACACACACACACACACACACACACACACTTAAATAAAGCTTTATCACTCTACATTACCTTACCTGTTCCTCCGACGCACGTGAACCGAGTCTATTGACCGGTACACCTAGGATAAGTACTTACCTTTACCTTTATATTTTTTATTTTTTATTTCTACTTTTACTCTACTGTATATTGTTGTTTTATAACTTTTGTACTGGAACTCTATACCACTTTTGGGTATAGATAGCACGACAGTTTTATTGAACTGAGTTTTACATATACAATTGACAAGGCTCAAACCCCAGGACCAATGTTCGCCATCGCACACACACCTAAAAAGAAGATGGCAGACCAGCCCACCACATCCCCAACTGAGAAGGAGAGGGCAGGACCCTCACCTAAAAACACGACTACAGCCTCCAGGGTGAGGCGCAGCACAGGGGAAGGGGAGAGCGGTAGGACTGACCCAAAGCCGTGTACGTCGGCAACGCATCCGCACTCACAGGTGATAACTATATCACCACCACCAACAAAAACTACCACCAAGACGACTGGTCAGCCTAAGTTGAAGCTGAAGATAGCGCCAACCGCCGAGACGCGGCCAGCAGCTCGCAGACCGTCGGTAGAGACACCGGCTTCAACGACAACCACGACGACAAAATCGCCACAATCGGCGAAATTGACAGGTAGAGCTCACGAAGGACGGGTCTGGCTTCAGAGGGCGAAATCTCATGTTAATGAGTCTCGCAATCTGAGGACAGACCTAAAAGAGGGCATGATTATGGCCGTCGATAAGCTCTACCAATTGTTGAAGGAAGCAGTGGCGGAATTGGAAGAGGAAAAGAATAAGAACAAGGAACTCAAGGGCAAGGAAAGAGAAGGAAAGAAGGAAGGGAACGACGAAAAGGACACGGAGGACTCAAGAGCACTTAGCAAGGAAATGGTAGAGCTCATAAAGGAGCAGAGCAACAAGATAGAGCAGACGAACATCGAACTGTCAAAGCTCAGAGAGTCCGTCCTTAACAACCAGGCCACCCAGAGAGCGTCTTACGCTGAAATAACCGCGGACCAGAGCAGAAGGCAAGCCAACAATAACAACGATAGGAGCTCTTTACACTCCATCGTTGTTACGTCCCGGAATGAACAAGAGAACAGCGAAGAGGTCCTCAAACAGGTCCGACAGGCTGTGAACGCAAAAGACGGCTGGGTGACTGTGGAGAGGGTCAGGAAGGTGAAGGACAAAAAGGTCATCATAGGATGCAGAACAGTAGAGGAACGGCAAAAGGTTCAAGACAGGCTAAAGAGTGCAGAAGATCGACTCCTTGTCGAGGAGATGAAAAACCAGGACCCGATGCTGGTCCTCAAGGATGTATTGTCGTACAATACCAATGATGATATCATCACTGCCTTGAGAAACCAGAACGGAGGGGTTTTCCAGGGCCTCGACAAGGGGGACGATAGGATGGAATTTAGGTATCGTCGTAAGGCGAGAAATCCGCTCATGAACCATATCGTCATACGGGTGTCACCTCAGATATACAACAGGATGATGAGCTGCGGCACGGTCCACGTCGACATGCAGAGGGTAAAGGTGGACGATCAATCTCCCTTGGTGCAGTGCTCCATGTGCCTAGCATATGGACATGGCAGGAGATTCTGCAAAGAGACCGTGCCGAAGTGTAGTCATTGTGGCGGACTGCACATGAAGCAGGACTGCCCGGATTGGTTGGCATCGGCAGCACCAACTTGTTGCAACTGCATGACCGCGAAGGTTGACACCCCAGTAGAGCATAACGCTTTCAGCGCCGAGTGCCCCGTACGTAGACGGTGGGAAGCGCTAGCGCGGGCAAAAATAGCGTATTGCTAAGGGCGACGATAGCTGTTCCGGGGCAGGCAACCCCACCAGACGTTATACAGTGGCCCAAGCTAACCTCCAGAGGAAGGAACTGGCGACCACAGAACTCATGATTGAGGCCAGTGAGCGTAAACTCGCACTAGCACTGCTCCAGGAGCCGTATGTGGGTGGGGTGAGAAGGATGAAGGATTACCGTGGGGCGAGACTCTACCAAAATGCGACAGTAGGAGATGGGACTGTGAAGGCGGCAATAGTTGTCTTCGACGACAGCCTTGACGTCATCCAGTGCCCGAAACTCACTAACAACAATATTGTTGTGGTGAGGATCCGAACCGCAGCTTGGGAAATCGCGGCGGTATCCTTCTACTTCGAACCGGACCAGCCCATAGAGCCATACTTGGAGCAGCTTCGGACCATCAGAGAGGAGTTGGGCCCTATGTCACTGCTAATAGGAGGAGATAGCAACGCTAAGAGTACCTGGTGGGGTAGCACCGTAGAAGACCACAGGGGGAAAGAACTGTCCGGGACCCTGGAAGAGTCTGGGCTTCAGGTACTAAATACTGGTGATACGCCTACCTTTGATACCATCAGAGGTGGAAGAGCGTTCACCAGCCACGTGGATATAACAGCCTGCACCACAGATCTACTGGACCTGGTAGATAACTGGAGGGTAGACCAGAACATGACGAGCTCTGACCACAACGCCATACTTTTTCACATTAGTCTCCGCAAAAGTCGAGGCCTGAGAGTGGAGCGAACCACCAGGCTCTATAAAGCCCTCGCGCCAACCCTTCGCGCCTGCCCCTCGCGCCCGACCCGCGGCCCTCGCGCCACGGTACCTAGCCCTCGCGCCAAGCCTTCGCGCCCGCCCCTCGCGCCCGGTCCGCGGCCCTCGCGCCTAGGTACCGAGCCCTCGCGCCAAGCCTTCGCGCCCGGGCGTGACTTGGGTTATCACCTGATACCGGTGGGCGACCCTCGGCTGGCCCTCGCGCCAGCCCCTCGCGCCTTGCCTTCGCGCCTGCCCCTCGCGCCCGACCCTCGGGCCTGGCCCTCGCGCCAAGCCCTCGCGCCAACCCCTCGCGCCACCCCTCGCGCCACCCCTCGCGCCAACCCTTCGCGCCTGCCCCTCGCGCCCGGCCCTCGCGCCGTGCCCTCGCGCCAAGCCCTCGCGCCAACCCCTCGCGCCAACCCTTCGCGCCTGCCCCTCGCGCCCGGCTATCACCAAGTGCCGGTGTAACACACATCGACGACCGTGCGGTCCTCGCGCCCGACCCTCGCGCCCGGTTATCACCAAGTACCGGTTTCAACTTCATCGACGACTGCGCGGTCCTCGCGCCAGACCCTCGCGCTCGGCTATCACCAAATACCGGTGAAACATCGGACTGTGTGGGACGTTGTGTTGCGACTTCCAACTGTGTGGTGAAACATTGTGTGGTGACTTTGCGATAGTGGAACCGTGTTGTGATTGTGACATCCAAGGATTGCAGTGATACCTGGATTACAGTGTACACTTTGGACATTGGACAAACTGTAAGTGTTTAAGATGCCACTAGCCAAGTCATCACCACTTCCCTCCCGAAGACTGACCCGCGCGCGATCGCGGGAAGTCACCGAGGCACCAAGCACCCAGCCAGCATCTCGCTCTCCACCCCTCAGCAGTCTTTCTGAGGCGCACTCCGCGGACAACTCTTTCGTGTCTGTAGAGAGCGAGAGGTGCCTGTCGCCAACCAGCTCAGCGGGAACTGTCCGAGCGGACTCACCGCGCTCTCTTAACTCTGCGGGCCTTGGGGGTTTTGGGACTTACCGACCCCCGGCGGCGACCACTCCGCGCCCGCGCAACACTCTTAACACTCTTACCACCGGCGATCCGCGGTCAGCCTGCAAGCGCAAGACACCTGCGAGCTACTTCCCCAGCGCTGACTTCGGAGACACTCCCTTCTCCTCGCTACTTTTGGAGCTCCACGGCCTTATGGCCACCATACCAGTCTTGCTCAACGAGGAGAAGAGTGTGAGAAAGGAGAACAGAGAGCGGGCGGTCCAGTGCAGTGTGGATGCGGCTCGACTACTGCATAAGGTACACCTCAAACACCTGGAGGAGGAGTCTTCGGCATCTGGCCGGGGCAAGGGCCTCGCTACACCTACCACCACCGCCGCCGCCACCACTAACAGCCACTGCTGCGAGGAGAAGCTCGCAGCCGCCGTGACTAAGGCTGTGACTCAGGCGGTGAGAACCGAGCTCGGGCGCATGAAGCCCACTCTGCCCGCCCAGCCCACCAACACCACCAACGGGAAGACCTATGCCGAGACACTTGCCTCCTCAACGCCGGCTCGACCTGAGACCGGGGACACTCAACCCCGGCGACGGGACGAGAGAACCTCACGCCCGGCGCTCATCATGGCCTCCAAGGACCAAAAGGCCGACAGGCAGGCCGTCACCAAGACGTTGCGAGCCACCATCCCATTCCGTGAGGTCAAGTTCACGGCAGCCAAAATTGAAATGCTCTCGCGGGGGAAAGCGAGAGTGGAATTCGACTCGACTGACCACCTGAAGGAGGCAATGAGGCGCATCAATAACACCACGGAGACCTCCGGCGTCAGTGCTGAACCGGAGCGGAAGCTGATGCCGATGATCGCCCTCAAGGGCATCTCCAAAGAAACGGCAAGCAAGGACCTCATTGCCACCCTGAAGGAGCAGAATCCCGAGCTGGGAAACGACGAGCGCATCAAACTGCGATTTCTGCGGAGGAACAGGAACCCCAACCTCTACAACGCGGTCCTCACGGTGCCGCCCGGGGTGTTCCACATCATCCTCTCCTTGGGCCGTGCACGCCTCGACCACCAGAGGGTGCACGCCGAGGAGTTCTCCCCGTTCCTGCAGTGCCGTCGTTGCCTTCAGTTCGGGCACACGCAGACGCGCTGCCCCGCCGAGTCACCAGTCTGCGCACACTGCGCGA